AGGAGGAAGAAAGTGAAAATTAGCTGATGAGGAAGTGAGTCTGGCAGAGGGAAAAGCCTTGAGGTAGGAAAAAGAGGAACGGGGAAGGAAAACAAGAAAGAGGGGGAAAACTTAAATCCAGGCCCCAGAAGAAGCCACAGACATCCCCCTGGCATCCTCTCCAAGCTTCCTGCTCCCAGAGGGCAGCCCATCCCCCACCCTGCCCCTCCTCTGGCTCCCACCCTTTGAAACCAGCCGACTTCTGCTTCCACCTTCCCAAGGCAACCCCAGTGATACAAAGAATCCACTTGTCAAAAAAACAGGCTCTTTGTTGTGAGAAAAAGAAAAGTTCAATCCAGTGAACAGGGACTAGAATCAGAGACTAAAATCAGGAGAGTCTAGCAGCTAGGAAGGACAGAGCGAGAGATAGCAGCCAGCAGGGAGGGAAGACTATACTTACATAGATTTTGGGGAAGGGGCTATAACCACAAGGAATTTTTATGACTTGGATGCCCAAGGACGGTCTTCTCAGGTGTATATACAGTTACGGGATTTCTCGGCACCAAGCGGGTGAGTCTATTTGCCCTATTTACTGGGAAGCTTCTATTGTTTGTTGAAAGCAGCTTGTTTGCTTTTTCTGTTGGTTTAGGGCAAGCCTAATACCCAGCAGGCTCTCAGCTTTTCTCGAGGGAGGATCTGAGCGAGAGTCCGAACGAGCACAGATAGAACTTGCCCTGGCCAGGTGGGGGCCTGGGCTCGGAAGCCAGAAGCCAGAAGCCGAGTTGGGAGCAAGGAGCTTAGGGCCAGGGAGCAAGGGGGCTCCCAGGGTGTGAGGAGCCACTTCAGGTGCACCTGACGCCCCACTTCCCGCCCCATGGGGAGAGTGCTGCTGTGAGACAGGGGAAGTGACTGGGATAGGAAGGGCGAGGGGAGGGGCAGGGACCTGGGACCCTGAAGAGGAGGGAGAAAAAAAGACCCCGGAAAAGGCGCCCCTCTCACTGCCTGCCCAGCGTGCGCACTGGGAGGAAAAAGGTGCTTAGTGCGCACTTTGTACCGCAGAGCCCAGCGTGTACCCCAGACTGCTAAACTGCCTGGCAGCTGCCAACAGCAGGTGGGGTGCACAGGGCAAGGTCTCCAGGATCTCCTCAGTCCAGAATAGTGTCTAGGATATGGTGCTGCGTGTGTAACACACAAAAAAGAGGCAGGGGAGGTGGAGGTATGGACATGAATCCCTCTGTACCTGGAAAGTGTCTGAAACTTAGTGTGGAAAGTCAGCAATGGCTGCCTCTGGGGAAGGGACTAGAAGAGGGGGCTTTTCAGTTGTGATTCCAGGAGTCTCCCTTCACCAACTCCAGGCTGAAAGCAAAAGAGAGACCTTATACTTCTCTTAACTTTGGTTTTGAGCCCCTCCCCTCTGTAACCTTGGATTACAGTAATTCCTCATTCCTTTCTGGAGATCATATAGTGCAGAGTCAGTAAGGAAGTTCACAGGGCACAGAAGCCATCATTCTTCCTTTGGTACTGGAGATTGAACCTGGGTCAGTATGCTAACAGTCATACTACAGATGAGCTTGGCTCATAGAGAGCTTACAGTGTTGTTAGGAAGGCAAAACCTTTTCCTGAATATCATGTAAAAGCAACTGGATGTGGATAGTGTCTTAAGAGAAAGGAAAGGGTGTTTTCTGCAAAGGTTCAGAAGATGGCAGGTTTAGTCAGTGATTCAAACCCCTGATCAGTTTGATAGACGTTGATATGAGCTGTCTTCTAAAGAGTGGAAGGACCTGGTTGACTTGGAGGGCAGTCAGTGGAGTCAGAGAAGATAAGCTGCAGAGGTGGGTGAAGGCTAAATGAGGGATGGCAAACCTATGGCACGCATCCTGCAGCAGGCTGTCTGTACCACCGAAAGCTCCAAAAGGTTCACCATCCCAGGGCTGGATTATGGAGAGCTTAGAATGCCAGGCCAGGAGACATGGGGTTATACTTTGCAATATAGCGGTGTTATGCTGGCAGATTCAGTAAGTTAGTTTAGAGCAGGAAGGTACAGCAGAAGTGGCTGAGATGCCCACCCTGTATCCTAGGCATCTCTGTACGCCAGGCAGCAGCTGAACCTGCGGGATGTGGCCAACAAGGTCTTGGCGATTGCTGCCTTGTTGCCCGCCTGCCGCCCCCACCTGCGACGCTATTTCTGTGCCATCGTCCACTTGCCTTCCGACTGGATCCAGGTCGCGGAGTTCTACCAGGTGCGGCACTCGATTCCCTGAGCGTGGACCTGCCTGGGTCCCCTCTCTCTTGCTCCCTGTATCTCTGGAGCCAACTCTCAGACAAGTCAGCCTCCCCTCAGCTTTCCCAGCCCGGTGTGGGATGGGACAGCTTCTCCCGGTACCGGGCTGGGTTGCCTAAAAGCGAGTGGACTGGACCAAAGTTTGAGAAAAAATTGATCTTATTCTGGACCTCATGTTTATAATGAAGAAAACGAAAATGTGAGATTACTGACCTGTGCAGCAGTATCACACAAATTTCTTTTACCTTGTCCGTGTGTGTGTGTGTGTGTGTGTGTGTGTGTCTGTGCGTGCGCATGCACGTGTGCGTTTGTCACTTGAGATTCAACCCAAGGCCTTTTCCTTTTTGACTGTTGTCTAGGGGATGGGATGGGAAACGCCATCTTGGGGCACTCTCTGCTCCCACCCCCAGGGAATATCCGTTCTAATCTTCCTGGGATGCTTTTTGGATCTTCTCTTCTTTGTCTTGGGACTGCTTTTGCTGGTAGCAAGCAGCCTTCCAGGCCTGACTGGCTCCTCCTTGGAAGACAATTTTGTCATTTTGTTGGGGACTGTCCTGCTGGCTGCCTCTTCCGGTTCACTAGGTATTTTCTTGTTGGTGAACCCAAGGCTTTTGCACTGAGCTACATCTCTAGTGCTTTTTAAATTTTTATTTGGAGACAGGGTCGCTCAAAGTCATTTAGTTGGCAAGGATGGTTTTTAACTTGGGACCCTCCTGCCTCAGCCTCCTAGAGTGCTGGGATTTCAGATGTGTGCCTCCATGCCTCACACATGTCTATCAGTGAGCAACACTACCAAATCTTCATGATCAGAACTTTAGTGAGAGAAGCCAGGTATGGTGAAGCACACCTGTAATGCCAGCACTCAGGAGGCTGAATTTGAGACCAGCCTGGTCTACATAGCAAGACCTTGTCTCAAAAAAATAAGTAAATAAATAAATATTTTTAAAAGGATGTTAGAGAGCAGAAACTCTGGTGGGAGTATAGAGGATAGATGGATAGTAGCTGTGACCAAAGATAGGGAGACCTTTTACAGCTGCTGCTGTAGCCCAGGGAGGACATACTGTGGGCCCTGACCTGGGCAGTTGAAATGAGAGGAAAAATACAGGTGTATGAATGTGTTGTCGGGAGAATGCACAGAGCTCACTCATCAGCTGGAGTTAGACATGGAAGGGAAAGAGAAGAATGTCATTGGTTCCTAGTTTGAGCAAGTAAGGGGAGGGTGATGATAAACACTAATATTGATCTTAGGAAGATAGGGGCTGGTCTAGCATGCTCAAGGCCCTGGGTTTGATCCTTGGCACCATAAAAAGAAGCAAAAATGAACAGGTTATGTTGGGAAGGTGATGCATTTTGCTCTGTACTTCACTTGTGTGGAATGCATGGGGACCTAAGGAGTCCAAGGGTGGCTAAAGTAGGATCTTTCTTTGTACATTTTTTGACCTACAGTCTTTGCCTGAGCCAAGTTCTACAAGAGGACTTAGGGGTCCTGACAAGTATGGACCTGGCCCCTGATGGTCATTCTCTCATCTTGGTCAAAGTGAATATGGAAATACTACATCTGCAGCCTGGGAATGCTCCGTCTATAATCGGGTAAGATACACAATGCTTATTCCTCCTGAGCTAGAGAACGCAAAAGAGTGCTTTAGTGCTTACCTGAGTTTAACTTAGAAGAAAACCCTGGAATCCCGAAGAGAGGTGGTCTGGGCTCAGCCTCTTCCTTTCTTACACACTAGGAACAGGGTTGGAATTCACCCTATACTACCGTCTACCCACAGGGAGTATGGTGTGTTCCACCTGAGCACAAGATACTACCATGTATCTCTTTACTTCTCAGTAAGTCCCGTTGGGGTATGTGTGAGACATTCGTGTAGAGCCAGTGTTTTCATACATTCCAGTTCATGACAGGGAAGAAGGGGAAGGAAAGGCAGTTGGCTCCAAATCCCCCTATTCTTCTTCAGAGAGAGCAGCTCTTCTTTAGAACTTGAGTTACTGGTTTTCCATGTAAGATTTCATTGGTATAAAAAAAGGGTTCTACTGTTCAAAAAAATGATGGGAATCAGAAACCTACAAGTTTTTCTAATTGCAGTATTCATTTCTCTTTGTCTCATCACTGTATTTGCATCTTAAGGGTAAGGACTACAACTTTGTCTCTGTCATTATGTTCCCCAGTTACCTCAGAGACATGCAGCAGTGAGTGATTTGGTTGTTCCACAGCTAGATGTTCAAGTCCCTTGAAAGCTTATAAAGCCTTGACCTAATACCTATTAAAGTTATTCACAAAGCCTATCTGTGACCCAGTGATTTCATTCCTAATTTTATACCTAAGAGAAATAAGTGCACATGTTCTCCAAAAGATAAGTACAAGAATGTCTGTAGCAGTGTTATTCATTAAGGCCAAAACAGCCTGAATGTCTATAAACAGGAAGAGGGTAATTTTGGTACATTTACACAATGGAATAGTACATGATGGGAAAAAATGTGATATTGAATATCAATGAAAGGAACAACATAGACTTATGTCATAGGCCTTATTCTGAGCAAAAGAACCCAGACACAAAGGAGTCCCTACTATATAATTTCATTCAAATAAAACTTGAGAATAAGCAGAACTAATTTATGGTGACAGAAGTCAGAATATTGTTAGCTCTGGTGGTGGCCTTTTTTGAACTAGGAAGGGGCAACTTTTGGGGTAATAGAAATAGTCTACATCTATTGATCTAGGAGTGATTGTGTGGGTAAATATTATATATTCCATGAGCTAGGCATTTAACATTTGTGTCCTGTACTGTATCCATGTTATAGCTTGTGTTTAGAAAGTTCTGACCATCCTAGAAGAGAACACTGTTGCTTTGCCTGGCAGAGTTGTGAGATATGGGCAGAGGCTAATCCAAGTTACCCATCCTTTCTCAGAAGCAAAAGGAATCAGGAGAGTTGGAAAAGTGCCCAAAGTTGACCTGAATTGAGAAAATTTTTGTGAGACCTTAGTAGTGATAACTCAGGCCAAGCCCGAATCTGGTGAGTGGGATGGGAAGACCAGAGGGCCCTGTGGTGCCCTAGGCAAGGTGGGCAGATCCTGGGAGGTGCCGTCCTGGCTCTAACTCTGTCCTTAAAACGGCAGAGTCATCATTTTTATGTGCCAGCTCTGATGGAGAGCTGTGGAGGCTGGCTGGATGCACCCGCAAAGGAGAATGGGCCACAGGAAACACCCGGCAGAAAAAAGTAGCAGCACCTGAAGTCCAGGCTTCAGGGACAGACCCATACTGTGCCAGCATGGATAAGTGGCCACAGGTCCCAGATTTAAAGACGCAGCTGCATAGAAAGGTGAGTTAGAAGGAATGGTCATAAAGGTAAGGAGGAGGCTGTAAGCTGACACAGCAGACTTCAGTGCTTCCTTTACTGAGGACTCGCCATGACACTGTCCTCCTCCTCTCGCAGATTCACTCGGACTCTGTCACAGCCCTCCATGTGCTGCCTGAGTTGCTGGTGACAGCTTCAAAGGACAGAGATGTTAAGCTGTGGGACAGACCCAGTATGCAACTGGTAAGAGTGTGTGTGTGTGTGTGTGTGTGTGTGTGTGTGTGTATGTACAAACACACATCTAAGAAGGGGCTGAAGGGATGTTACAGGAGAACTTAAATAAGAAAAGCACCAGATCAAGATTCCATTTTCTTTCATTCCTCTTGCAGTGACATACCTGTTTCTAAACAAAAGGCAATTATTTATGTGAAAACAAAATAAGTTACTAAGGAGAGCCCAGGCGAGTAGCTGGCCCTCACCTCCCCTGTTTCTGTTCCTGTTTTAGCTGGGCCTGTTCTGATGTGAAGGGGCAGTGAGCTGCCTGGAACCATGTCTGAGACCTGACTCGACCCTGCTGCTCGCTGTAGGAGACTGTACACAGGGCAATGTATACTTCTTGTCCTGGGAATGAGAGTGCACTACTCAGGGCCGAGTTGATACCACTTAAGCTAGAGATGCAAAGCCTGAAAGTATGTGGCTACCTCCTTCCTCAGATTGTACAAATTAAGTGCCAGAGTGTCTTAAGTACAGCTTTGCCTCTGCTCTCATGTGGCTTTAGACCAAGAGGGGAGAATATGGATGTTCTGTTTCTTCTCTGATTTAACATTAATTCTTCATAGAACTGCAAGAAAGTGAACTCCACCTTTAGTGGAGACCCTTTGAAACCAGGGTTTAGAATTCCCATGTCCCTTGCTGGCCCAGGACCTCAGTTTCCCATCCCTTCCAGGAGGAGGACAAAGAGTGATGTTAGTGGCACTTAGTTTGAATAGAGTGCTGAAGAGCGCTCATTTGGTGAGAAAGAACAAGGGAAGGAAGAGTGAGCCAACAGGGCAGCAGGGCATTTAGAAAGCTCTGGGATGCCGCCAGGACAACACTAGGTTGCTCTCCTGGAAACAGCGCTTGTCAGAGCTAAGTTCCCAGATGAGTGGGGAGAAGCAATGGCACTGAGAGCAGAATGACCCTTCTGCCTTTCCATGTGCCCTGCAGGCATTAGTCATTATAATAATTGGTGTTCCTGGAAAGAAATCACAAAGGTCTTTTTCAGGCTGAAACTTACAAAGCTGAAAACATGTTGAGAATAGTACAGTCACATCCATGGACTTAATAAAGACTCTAATCCTCTTAAAAGTTCTAGAACTTTCTTATTTTCCCAAAATTCTAACCTGCAGGAGAGGCAATTCCTTCAGGGATCTTCTTCTGAGGGTTCAGAAGAAGGAAACATCTTCTGTGTCCAAGAACTTAAGGATTTCCCAGTACTCGGGAGGCTAAGGCAGGAAGATAAAAAAAGAATTCAAGGACTTATAGATGCAAAGAAGTACTATGAGAAGGATTTTTGTCCTGGGTAGGTAGTACTCTCCCAGAGAAATACCATTGTTCTGTGGTTAAGGATTTGGGGAGCTTGGGTATACCGCATTTCGCTTTCACTTTGCCTTGATCCCAGGTTTTATGTGGCTAAATTATTGGGGGACTTTACCTTTTCTACGCAATTCCCTGTGACCTCCCCCAGCTAGCAGATAAAGGCACCAACTATGTTGCTAGATCATGCTTTGGTCTTTCTTATGTGCCTTATCTTCATGGAAAGGTTCTAAATGTATCTTATGGATCCCCACTTCCATAAGTATCTTGTAACTAGAACTGGTTGAGGTTAGTTTGAAATTTATGGTCCATAGTTCTACCCAGAAATCCTACAGAGAATCATAGCATGGCATCTTCGTAAAAGTGACTTAAGGGCCTGGGGCACAGAGCAGTGGTAGAGTACTTGCCTAGAATGCACAAGGCCCTGGATTTGATCTTCAGCGTGGGGGAAAAGAGGCATTCGTTTCATTCTTACGTGTTGCTTTCCTAAAAGCATGGACTAAGGGCAGGAGGAAGCTCTTGTTGTCTGTCTTCCATGGTCTGAAAAGTTCACAAAAACACCCTAGTCAGCTTTCTGGTTGCTGGGACAAAATACTGACACTCACAACTTAAAGGAGAGATTTAATATAGCTGACAGCTCAGGGGGTTCAGTACATAGTTGACTGGCTCCAAGGCAGTAACATCATGGTAGAAGAGCATGGTGGAGAAAGCTGTTCATCTCCTGGCAGTCAGGAAGGAGAGAGAACGGAGGACCCATGGAGGGAGATCGCCCTCCACAGGCACTCCCACAGTGACACACCTCATCCCATTAGACTCCACTCTGAAAATGAGACTTTTCAGGGACATTTTGGATCTGTACCACAGTACTCAGGCTAGAGGAATAGGAATGGGGAAAGTTAGGCAAAGGCTAACTTAGTAGATTCAGTCTTTTTGACTCTTGAATGAGTTTAAAATGTTTTTCTCACCTTGGAGATATACAGCAAGGCCATATTATATTTGCTGTGAGTAAAGACAAAAACAGACTTTAGGTAAAATTAAATACAGTTGTCCCCTCCTATCCATGGTTCCATATTTTGTTGTTTCAGTTACTTGTGTTTAACTCTGGTTCAAAAATACTACCTGGAAAAGTGTAGAAATAAGCAATTCCTGAGCTTTCAATTGTGTGGCATTCTGAGTAGCATGATGAAATCTTGGTGTCATGCACCATCTCATGGGGGACACGACTCACCCCTCTTTCCAATTACTTAGATCAGCTGTCACCGTACTGCAGCGCTTGTGTTCAAGTAACCTTCACGTACGAGCCTCTTGCTGTACTACAGAGCCAGCACCACAGCTCACTTCATCTGGTCACATAGGCACCGGATCATGTCATGTCATCACAGGAACAGTGAGTATGGCCCAGGAAGATACAGAGAGGACTAAAGTTTTGTTACAGTGTAAATGTTCTATTTTACTATTTTTTGTGGTTAATTTCTTACTGTGCCTAATTTATAAATTAAAATTTATCATAGATGTATCTGTATAAAACACATAGTATAAATTCTGACTAGTACTATCTAGTTTGTCATCCACTGGGGTCTTGGAACAGTAAGCCCCAGATGAGAGACCTGCTGTATGTATGCAAGGGAGCTGAGGGCAAAATCAGTTATATTTTACATGAATATCATCCTTGGGTTTTTTTCTTTTTTCATTAAACAGGACTTGTGGAGTCCGGCGTCGTGGTGCACGCCTGTAGTCCCAGCACTGAGGAGGCTGAGGCGGGAGTCTGGCTGTGGGTCCGAGGCCAGCCTGGACTACATAGCGAGACCGTCTCCAAAAACCAAACAATAAATGAATGAATAAACAAACAGGATTTGTGTCTCCCAGTGCCTGGCTTTGCTCCAGTTATAGCCACTGGATTGTGAGATCACAGGACATTTCTTCTCCTACCCACCCACAGAAGCATCTTTCTCATTAAACCAAATTTTAACACACCTATTCTTATAGACCAATCCACATCCATTTTTGAAAACTAGAGCAGAGGTACCCAAAGTTTGGTTTGTGAACTACCATTAGTCACAAATTATGAGTGGTCCTCAGTGAGGTAACTATGAACAAGTATAGAAGTTGAGAGTATTCAGAAACTGTACAGGCTTTTGAAAATTTTTATCTTATGGCAGACACATTTAATAATATAAACTAAGACTTGCATTTTTTTTTCATTTTCATAGCAATTTATTATATTTTACAAAAGTATTATCCCAGGACAGATGTAAAATTAAAAGAAACAAACAGCTGGTCTATCAGTAGAAGTGTTCTTACTCTTTTAAATTTTACTTATATATTCATTTATTTACTTAGTGTGGTGCTGGGGTTGAACCCAGAACATCATGGATGCTGGGCAAATGTCCTACAAACCCAGCCTCAGACCCTTTGATTTCACCAGTTTTTCCATTAGGGTTTCTCCTGGGTACTATACTACATTTATGTCTCTTCGGTCTTCAGAAATTGTGACAATTTTTCAGTCTTTCCATAACCTTAACAAGGTTGGAGAAGGTGCCTAAATTTGATTTGCCTGTTTTCTCATGAATAGAGAAACTATGGATTTAAGAGGCGAATCTGTGAGATATATGCCCTTCTTGTTGATATCAACGTGACTTATTGCTGGTGATACTAACCTTGGTCACTTTAAGGTGAAGGTGTTGCTAGTGTGTGTTTTTTCTGCAGGACTGAACATGGGGGCTGTGCATGCCAGGATGCCTTATAGTACCACTTCTTTTCAGGATTCTACTGGTAATCCTACACAGTCTAATAAGGAGAATGAAAAAATAAAAGATTTAAGCCAGGCATGATGGCACACAGCTGCAATCCTAGCACTCGGGGCAGAGGTAGGAGGACTGCAGTAAGTTCAAGGCCACCCTGGGCTACAAAGTGAGGCCAGCCTGAACTACATGGCAACAGCCTGTCTCAACAAAAACAAAACCAAAAAAACCCCCAAAAAACAAAAAACAAAAAAAAACCATTTAAAAGGAAGAAATAAAACTGCCATTATTTGTGTATATAATTATAAATGTAAAAAGTCTAAAAGAATCTACAAACTTTTAGTCTCAAGGATAAATATTTAGCTTCTACAAGTAAACTATTAAAGTCCAAAAATTATATAGGTAAAAACAATAGATGAATAAATAAAACTGTGGTATAATTATAAAAGGAACCCTATAAAACAATGAACATAAATGAATTTCTGCTGCAAAAAACTTGATTCAATCTCACAGCTGCTTTCTCAAAGATGCCTTTCATCAAGGTGAGGAAGGTCTCTTCTATTTCGAATTTGTTAAAATGTGTATCATGAGGGCCAGGGATTTAGCTCAGTGGTTCTGCTGTCTGCCTTGCAAGTGCAAAGTCCCAAGTTTGATACCCAGTACCAAAAAAAAGAATGTTTATCATAAAAGGATGCTGCATTTGCCAAATGCTTTTGATGCAGGAGGCCATGTGATTTTGGCCTCCATTGGTTGATTTTCATGTTGAATCTATTTGCATTCCTGTGGTAAATTTCACTTGATCATGGTTAATAATCCTTTCTTTGTTGCTGGCTTGGTAATATTTTATTGATTTTTACAATTATATTCTGAAGGGATATTGATCTATAATTTTCTTGTAATAATCTATAGGTTTTGATTTTATACTGCATCGTAGGATGAGTTGTGAAATATTCTCTATTTTCTGGAAAAGCATTTCAAGTCTTCTTTAATCTGGACAGCAGCATAATAGTTCAATGAATGGATATATTTGATTAGTTCCTTATGAATCTTTTTGTTTCCACCAATGTTGCAATGACATCTATGCAAACAGGCAAATCTATAAGTTTTACGTGAAAGGGTATATACATTTAAAACTATTAGATACTGGTAATCTGGTTTCTAGAAAATTACAGGATACTGTTCATTTAAACAACTTTCATTAGGGGATGGGTGGGTAGCTCAACAGCAGTTTATACTTATTCTGTATGAGGCCCTGGGTTCAATCTCCTACATAAAAATAAATACACAAACAACCTTCATTGTTATTTAAGAAAGTGTGTTGCATGTATTTAAAAATAATCAGGATGGGCCGGGGATTTAGCTCAGTGGTTTTGCCACCTGCTGCACAAGCGCAAGGACCTGAGTTCAATCCCTGGTACCAAAAAAAAAAAGTATCACCACTTAAAAATAATCAGGAAGTCTTTGGCTCTTATCTGTACTTTAGTACTTCTTAGATGGAGCATACGTAAAAACTTCTACTTCTCTCTGTCCTCTCCAAATGTATAATGCGTTAGTGACAGTGGTCTTATGGCTTTCCAAATTACTGGACATCTAATGAGGAATAGGATGTTAAACGGCAAGAGATCTGGTCTGCAACTGATAAACAGGACAAAGCCAATCAAGATTTGGATGGGGATAAAACGGAACAATTTAGCCTTTAGGGCGGGCCTCTACTCTTCCTACTGTAATATTCAACAAACTCTAGTTTGCAGAAAATTGAATTCAGCAGAGAAAAGCACTAATCTCCACGACTGTCCCTCAGTGCACAGGCTATTACGCTTTGAAAGAACAGGATCCTGAGTAATCCACAGCTAGTTGTGGGGTAGCAATGGGTACTTTTCTACCCTGGAAATGAAGATATACTAATGCCAGAAGAAATAAATGTTTGGAAAAGCAAAACCCACAGAAGCCAATGGGAGATCCACCATATGAATTTTATTATATAAAGTACCAAAAAGGCTGGGCATGGTGGTGCACACTTGTAATCCTAGCACTCTGGGAAGCTGAGGCAGAAGGGTTGTAATTTCCAGCCTAGTCTGGGCAACTCAGTGAGACCCTGTCTCATGATTGAAAAAAAAAAGGCCAGGGATATAGCTCAGTGTGAAGACCCTGGGCTCAGCCGCCAGTACTGGAAAAAATAAAGTTTATGCCAGGCATGGTGGTGCACACCTATAATCCCAGCACTGGAAAGGCAGAGGCAGGAAGACTGCCATAAGTTTGAGGCTAGCCTGGGCTACACATGAGTTCAAGACCAGCCTGGACCACATAGTGAGACCCTGTCTCAACAAACAAAATGAAACAAAGTTTAAAAGTACAACAATGCTGATTTTCTTGCTTGAAGACTATATCTTCTCTGTTTTAATATCAACACTCACCACAGCTGCAGAAAATTAAATTGAATCTTTAGAAGGTATCGCATACGGACCTGGTTTGGGTTATAGACAATAAACTCATTGTAGTTGAGGGTATAACCCCCTGGGTTTAGAATTTCTGTGTCACTTGCTGGCCCCAAGGGCACTGTACTCCCATTCCTGCCAAAGAGAACAAAATACATTCACATCAGTCTTTGGTTCGGAAGTTGCAATGAGGGGCTGGGGATTTAGCTCAGTGGTTCTGGCGCCTGCTGTGCAAGGTCCCAAGTTTGATCCTTGGTACCAAAAAAAGAAGAAAAAAGAAGTTGCAATGAAGATTGGCTTTGGATACTTACAGGGTGATGAAGTGGGCAGGACTGGGAGCCATCTTGCCCAGGCCCTTTGTGCTGTGTTTGCCCTGAAGTAATCCTTCTGCCTTAGGATTGGCCTCAAGTAGCTCATTACACTGACCCAGAGCTACCTGCAAAGCAAAGGATCTTTGAATGCCTGTGCCCTATTGAAAATAATGTTGCTCTACAGAGAACCAGAAAATCCCATCTGTATTTTCTTCCCTGCTCTAGCAAAGGAATCTAATGCCATGAAAATTCCCGAGATTCCTCAAGTCATCTCAGGTGAACCTCTTGGTTCTAAGGTCAAACCCTTCTCACTGGCAAAAATAGGAATTAATAAACTGGAGATCACAGATGTGTTCCTTCCTCACCTCTGATAAAAGCAACAGTCCTGTATTCTTTACTCTGGAGGCAAAGCAGTAATTGGCACTCTTAGAAGACATATCAGCAAAGTAGATTCCTTTCCCAAACTGAAATAAACAAAAACCAAGGTTAGCTGCTTAATCCTTATATTAGAAGGAAGGCTCATACAACTAACATTATTTTTCCATTCTCTTAAATACAATATTGACCCATCTCCATTACTCTTCACAATTCTTTCCAGAGACAGTAGAAATATCTGTGAATCTCTGCCTTCTGGGGGAAAGGAACGATATCATTTGGAATTTAAAGAAAGAAGAACACAGTAAGACATGATGGAGTTATCGGTGGGCTGGTTTAATGTGGGCGGAAAAGTACCGCCTAATTCTGACCTAGAAGATAAGTAAAGGACTGACAGTAAATGACTGACATTCTTTCCCCCTGTGTCCTGTCCAGAGTTCAATCTCTACTCACCATGTAACCTGTGATGGGAGCCTCTGGCGGGGCAATTCGAAGCCCATGGCTCAGGATTCCTACCCAGTTACTCAGCCTGGAACCGTGCCATAGCAGCATCCTAAGAAAAAGCAGTAATTGTGCTCTTGTTCTCCTGAAAACACAGCCATAAATATAAAGAAGCCAAAATCCCCTCTGCTACCCTCCAAGCTCTTTAACTGTACTTGAGGCAAGGACATGTTTTCCCGATCTCAAGGCTGGACTCAGACCTGTTAGGAAGATCCTCTCTGAAGGCTTCTTTCTCACCCTCTTTTTCTACTTCAAAGGCCTCCAGCAAGGTCATGGAGTAGTCACGGTGTGTAGGAGCATGTGTAGACTGTAGGTACTGGGAAATCACCTGTGGAAAAGAATGGAAGAAATGACTGATGTGAACCCTAAAGAGACAGGCCTGAAATGAAGAACTGAGGGCTGCTGGTACAATGTGGCAGAAAGTCCTGCTCCCAAATGGCTCCTAAGGCAGAAAGAAAATGGCCCACCTTCCCAAATTGCTGGCAAAGAGAAATTCTGCCCTATTTGACAGTTTGCTTTTAACCAGAAGTAGTCAAGAGAATAGTGGGATAGGGACAGTGGGTCTTACGGTGGAAAAGCATGAAAAAAAATGATTTTTCTTACTGTGAACTCATGACTTTCATGGTCTAGAGGGTGCAAGGTACAGTGCAGGTTCCTATAGCATTGGTCCAATGGGTGTTCTGGGCTTTGGAGTTCTGTCTTCACCAGCTTAATGGCAATTTCAATGTCTCCCAAAGCCTGAGAAAACAGGGACTCAATGCGAGGGAACCTGGCATAAGAGATCTAATACTTCCTAATCCATTTTTAACTCACCTCTAGCAGTTGTACTTTGTCTGACAGTTCTTTCTCGGTGTGGATTAATGGAGGGGTACGGAGTCTAAGGACAGAGATACAATGCATAAAGATGTGTTAGGTTTGTGGCTGAAAGGCACATGACTACAAAGAGCAGACTAAACATGGGTGCTTTTGGTGCACTCCTGTAATCCCAGCACTCAGGGGGCTGAGGCAGGAGGATCGCTGTGAGTTCCAGGACATCCTGGGCTACATAGCAAGAGCTGCATAGTGGACTACATAGCAAGAAACTTGTACGTATGTATGAATGAATACATACATACATAAACATCCTTTAGAAACAGATGTTTTTCAAACCAGGTGTGGTGGTGTACACCTGTAACCCCAGCACTTGAGAAGCTGAGGCAGGAAGACTGTGGCCAACTCGAGGCCAGCATGGACCATATAGTGAGATTTTGTCTCAAAAAAAGTAAGAAAAAATAAAACCCAAAACTAGGAAAAACATTTTCTATTTGAAAGATAAAGAGGCCTAAAAATAGACTTAAACCTCTAAATACATAAAGCAATACTAAACACACACAGATATTGTGTTAGCGTGGTTATAGTCACCTTAAAGAAAAATAAAAAGCGTAATATGCCTTGAAGGTGTTTTACTTAGTGGTTAGAGAGCCAGACCCATTTTCTCTTGAGTTGGGAACTTCCATTTGGTCAGTGAATATGATGGTCATCAGGTCAGGGGATCGCATCTCATTTTAAACTGATAAATTTGCAGATAAGCTCCCTATAAATCATTTTGGCACTATTTAAGAGGATAATTTCCTTAGGAACAAAAGACTAAGAGAATGGTGGCTGCTACCGATTGATTTAGGGAATATGGGCAGGTCGAGGAGCAAAGTGAAGCCATAGCACAGGCCTTACCCAAAGTCATGTGGGATCCTGGTGTAGAACTCGTTGCATGCTTCCAGGAGAGCTCGTCCATGCTGGCCGGCCCGAATGCAATCTTCAATCTTCTTAAGAGACTGGTAACCTGCCTTGATTTGCGCTGCTGTCAGCTTTCCTGCAGGCCCAACCGCAGCTCAGACTCCAAACTAGCATTCCGTCCTCTAAGCTATACTTACATCCTTGCTCCACCATTCAACTTTGACAATAGTCATCCCCACCCACACATACACAATGTAACCTTTTACCCCAAATCCTGCTTTTTTCATTCAGTACTATCAGCAAGCTTTAAATCATGATGATGAAATACCCACTAAAAGAATTAAGGAACACGAAGAGAGAATGTAGGACAGAATATGAAGTCCTACCAAGTGGGGCCTTCTTGGTGTCATACTTCATTTCAATCATCATCTCCTCCATGGTCTGGACATTACAGATCAACTTTATCAGCTCCTGGACCCGAAGATCTAGCTGTGACTCTGGTTTCAAGGGGGACTTAAGGGAGTCCTCCTGTTTTGTTTTATTATCATCCTATAGAAAAACAAAGTCCATAGAAGCTTGAAAGGATGTATTTTTTTTTTTTTGGTACCGGGGATCGAACTTGGGTCCTTCCGCTTGCGAGGCAGGTGGCGGAACCACTGAGCTAAATCCCCGGCCCGAAAGGATGTATTTTAACACCCTGCAAAGGCAGAAAAACAGACCCAAGGATCAATGGAACAGATTAGAAGACGCAAAAATAACTCCAAACACACACTCAGCCACCATATTTTCGACAAAGGGGCCAAACACCTTCACTGGAAGAAAGATAAGAGCTTCTTTCACAAATGGTGCTGGAAAAAGTGGCTTTCCACATGCCAAAGTCTAAAACTAGACTCATGTCTCTCATCATGCACTAAACTAAAATCAAAATGGATCAAAGATCTAAATATTAAAATATATCTATATCTGCTGTAAGAAAATAGATAGAACTCTTTCAGACATTGGTGTAGGCAAAGACTTTATGAACAAAACCTCAATTGCACAGGAACTATCACAAAGAATCAACTAGGGGCCAGGGATTTAGCTCAGTGGTTCTGCCGCCTGCCTCGAAAGTGCAAGGACCTGAGTTCGATCCCTGGTACCAAAAAACAACAAACAAACAAAATAATCAACTGAGATCTCATCTTATTAAAAAGCTTTTGCAAGGCAAAAGAAATCATCAACAGAGTGAAAAGACAACCCACAGTGTGGGAAAAAATTTTTCCAGCTGTTCCTCAAAGGATTAATATCTAGAACATATGAAGAACTCAAAAAATCAGACCCTCCAATTTTTTTTTTTATTAAATTCTTTTATTGGTACATTGTAGGTATACAACACAGTCACATTTCTCATTGGGAACTGTACCTTTACATAACGCATCTTGGTTCTTATTTTTTGCATTCCTAGCCCTCCCTTCATGCCTTCCACACTTCCCTATTTACAAAGACTTTATTTCCATTTTTTCCATTTCTCAGCA